AGTCGTTATCTACGCAGTCGTAGGTCATGTAAGTCCGAACGGCACTTGTCTTTTTTGAAAAGGCAAGCGGTAAGCAACAATGAATTAATACGTGGCCACTTTCAAAGAGGCCCTTTTTTTAAAGCAACAGTAAGTGGAGCAATGTGATTGGTAAAGAGTAGATCTAAAATGTGATTATCTCTTGTTGGAGAGCGCACCAGTTGGGACCAATTAGAAAAATTCACATTTGATATGTAACCGGTACGCAAAAAAGAGAATTATTCGGGGATATATTTGGAGCTGCGGGATTTGTAGACGTGCTGGGCTGAACAGACTTGTTAGATCTAAGAGGAGGCGTCGTATCCCTAAATGGGGCTGTACTACCTATCTTTTGGGTCGGAGTATGATTCAGTTTTCGAGTCTCACCGTTCGGACGCAAAGCCACGGGTGACTTAACTGTAAACCTTACAGCCCCAGTTGGACAAGAGAAGTTACCGGTCTAGCTGATGTAGACGGATTTTCATGTGTCTCAGCGGGACTATCCGGAGGATACGAAACCACAAATGGGGCTGCTGCTGCTGCAAGTTTAGGGGCAGGCAAATGCGTCAAGTGGCTTGAGTGAGATGGAGATGTAGGAGTAAGGGGGAGGAGGGAGTCAGATGTCGCAGGAGTAGGACAAGCTGAATCCTCACGGCCACTTGTATTATGACCGAGTTGGGGAGCATTAGTCTGAGAAGCAGTGGGTTTACGTGAGAATAGAGACCCGATTCTACGCTCCATATGAGTAAGCTCATGACAAATGAAAATTTTTGCGTTTTCTAGGTACGCAGTGACACGCTCTCATTGGGCAAAGATTGTGTCAACCTCGATTGATGAAAATAACTTGACTAAGATGGGTGGATTTGTACTACGGGAGGACAAGCGTTTGGCATCGGCTATTTTGTAGTTAAAACCACATGAATACAGGAAATTGGTCGCAACATCAGTTGGCCGAGCAGATCGAGGAGAATTTTTTAACAGAAAGTTGTAAGAACGCTTCTGTATATCACTAGATTCACTGGCGATCAGTTGAACAAGTGAGTCGAGACGCCTACATTCTTCAGAGAGAAGATCGGAGATGTTCCCGTCGAATAAATTTCCAAGAATTGTCAGCAAAGAGCCAAACTTTAGCATAAAGTCATTGCAGTGGTCAAATGCAGACAGATTAAGCTGCCGACCAATTACAACGGGTGACGACTGACTAGTAATATCATCGGACTTAGATTTAGGTAAAGCTTCTGACTTACGTTTAGTTAGGCCGTGCTTACTTACAGAGGCCGAGAGCTCTTATCTCATTCTCCATCTCCAAGACAATCTGAAGAATTCTGAAACATGCGGCACGGGTTTAGTCTACAGGGTTGACGTCCATTAAGGTTACCTAACTCTTTGCCCGTCTGGCGGAAGACTTGACAGCAGGAAACCAGACGCTATTCACTTATACTGTGCGCATTGTTTATTCCATCATTTTTCGGCCTGCCATCTGCGCGCCTGTGGTCTATTGGCAACGATATTGGCCATGGCACCCTCATGACTGGGCTCGAGCGCGACTCGGGACGGACTTTCTGAGCATCATCCCGAAGACACTTGCTTTATCACCATTATTAAATAAATGAACTGTAGAAGTTTTAAGGATGTGAGAGGAGCTATTTAATAAGACCAACGATATAAAACAAATAACAAAGAACTCCTATGTTTTTGGATTTGAAGAGTCCCGCGGTGCTGATGGCAGAAAAGTGATCCCAACGAGAGTGGTTTTCCCAAAGAATGAAGGCACCAAAAACGACTAGTCACCCTGCCTGGTTACGATAGACCTTAACACACAGTTACGGAAGGGAAATAGAAGAATATTCAGGGAAGCCGACTCACGAAACCCCGTGGAATTTCGCCGGCAATGAAATGCTGTCGCAGCACAGATTTGTGGGACACGAAAGAAGTAATAAACCCGAATTATTCAGCAAGCTGAAGGGAATCCTAAGCTCCTAGTCTTTTACATCACAAGTCGGCTAAAAATGACTCAGTCGTAGTATCTCGGGATGGCAGTGGTGTGGAATTAGTTGGAAATAGCTAGAAAGCTGTGTACGTGGACAAATTTTTTGTTTACATAAACAATTTTTTTTATTATGAAGTTTCCCGGGACGCTATGATAGCAAGTAAAAATAAATTTTCAAAGGGATTTTAGAACAGGTAGGCAGACTTCATACAGTATTTAGACCATGCTTATATAATGAACATTCAGATAAAAAAAAACAAACGATTTTTTGCTAAAGATCCGTGGGGGTCCTGTAAAAGCAAGTAAGGATAAATTTTCACATGAATTTTGGAACAGGTAGACGGAATCTATACAATAATTAATTCATAGCTATTGAACAACTAGTTTGTTACAGTATAAAAAAACTGTCAGAGTGCAGTGAAAGATATTGATTTTTTTTCGAAAAAGGAATAATGCATATGATCTGATTCGTTCTTAGGGAGAAGACACGGTTGCCCATGAAAAGATAGATGTGCTGGTCGGACAGAACCGGCCTGCATGTGGTAGTGTATAGGAGACTCAAAAGATATCATCAAGGCCTAATCTCTAAACCGGATGTGGATGTCCGCGACAAAGTTGCGATACGAGAGGGAGCCAGACGCGATCGGTCGTGGCCCACTTAGAATCCAGCCGAGGAGTGACGTTAGAGACTGAGGCGACCATCAAAGCGTACGGTTAAAT